TTAAAATATATAGTTCCTTTAATTTTATCTACAAGAGTTGATATCACTAATCAAAATGAAAAGATAGACATAATTTAAGGTTCGTTTGAGAATTTTTTTTAGTGCTTTATCTTTTTGGGTTTTGTCTTTTTATTATATTAAATATATATAAAATATTAACAAAAATAAGGACAGTGATTGGTATACAATTCGATTTAATACATTATATAACATACTCATTAAAAATCACTATTTCTTAATATAAAATTAAAAACAGACAAATTTAAAAATATAATCATGTACATAGGATGTAAGAACCGATTGAATTGATTGTATTTATATTACAATTTTAATAATTAAAAGTGTGTTAAAAAATGTGTTGAACCAAGGATATACAGATCATTTTTCTAAAATTAAATATCAAATATATGAAATATGTTATATATATTTTTGAGATATTAAAGAAACAAAAAAATTACAGCTGTAACTACAGGTTAATATGGTTAAATTAAGCCTAATTATGTATATGTGTAAAGTGGTTTTATAGTGAATAATTGATGAGGTGTGACATATGTTATCAATCAATTTATGAGTGCAACGAAAATATATATTAAATTTTCTTATCTCTTCAAATTTGGTTTGGTTTGATTATACATGTACCAATCTTAAGAAATCTACATATCTATCCTAAAATTCAATTGATCAATCCACAAAACTTAAGAGAAATGTTAATTTTACAACAGATTTTGTTATGGAACATATGCTACAGTACATGTATGCAATGCAAACCAACACTCGGAAAGTAACAATAACAAATTACATACTGGACCTAAACTCGCAAAAAAGAAGATTTATCCCAATAACTTCAAAGTTTTTAGCGTCTCAATCTCTTCACAACTCGAAAGGCCTCATTAGCATTAAGGAATTTTTTTTTTTTTATCTTGGTTGCACAATAGGAAACAATTATCTCTCATCTCTTTTTTCACTTTATTTGCATGTCATGTGAGTCGAATTCAGAATCTTTTACTTTTAGTGAAAAAATATGACTATTAAATAATTTAAGTCGTTGGCAGTATTAAAGAATTTTTAGAAAAGGAATTTACTAATTCAGGCAATTTGGAGAGCAGAGTCAAGTGTGAACCTAATGATTTGGCAACAGACTGATGAGAACTAAACTTTGTAAGAAATTAATTGATCAATTTCCCCGAATCTCATCTGCATTTAACTATATTTGTGGCTAATTTTTCGCCTATGTATATATTTGTCTCCTATCTAACCTGATCTTACACTAAACAATTATGTACACCAAACAAAAAATGGCTATTCTAAGAAATTCCCAAGTAACGAATCAATTTCTCTCTCTCCTTCATCCTTTTCTCAAGCAGGATATGAAGAAAGCAGATTCGCTGGTATACAGGGAGAATTCTTCCATGCTCGAGCGTGCAACTTAAGAACTTCTATGGCCCTCTCTTTTATTTTGCTGCTGCAGTCCACTTGAAGCACCAAGCACAGCTTTGACACCACACCTAACTGCAGCATCTCCTGAAGAACGCTGGGTGTGGCGCAGAACTTCGACACC